TTTTTTTTAATTTATTTTGTTTTATATTTTCTTTAATCTTTATTCTTTTTTTCTGAACTTAAAACAGCTGTTCATAGCTTTACGTCACACGCAACTTAGCTTACTTATCTCGCTCTCTACACTCGCTCACCTTAGGTACTGGTTAGCTCTGACACTCTCTTTCTTCTGTCGTTAACTACGCTTGCGTCGTGTTTTGTTGGATATAGTTTCGTGCACGAAAATCTAAAGGCAAGAGTGCAGATGCCCAACCAGGACATGCAGTTTTGTTTACAACAAACTCATGTTAAAAATGCAGGCCGATAAAATTCCTATAGTGTTTCATAGATTGTCAAATATCGTGCGACTTCTCTCTCTGTCGTTAGTTAGAGCAAACTAAAATTGATGTTTCCTCCGCAATATTTGCAATGCTACTGCTTTGACTGTAGCACAACTTTAGGCGCTTGCCATGCAGCTGCATATAAATATTACGGAAAAAGCGTGAGAAGCGCTTATTAAATACCAAAAAAAAGAACACAAAAAAATGCAATTAGGGTCGGAAATGAAACGAAATTTCATTTGAAAAGCGAAAATGGCCAATGAAAGGAAAATTGTCTCGTACACTTAAGAAAATTGGCAGTAGAGAAAGAGAGGAGCGTACGAGGGAGTAATTTAGTTTTAGGTTTTTTATTGACTTGATTATTATTTTTGTTGTTCATTTCATTTTTTTTCTACAAAGTTGAACAGCAGCAATGAAATTTAAGTGCCAATAAACACATAAGAAAACGTTTAACTACCAACACGCCTTAAAGTATGCTACAAAAAAAAACAATTAAAAAGCATTTGCGTGCTCTGAGGTAAATCACTATTTGCGGCGACGTCAGCAAATGTTGAATATTTAATAAATTCACAAAAATTAAAATTAATTTAAGTCTACGTACTCCCCAACCAACTTAACACCTGAAGTCTTAATTAAAAGTGTTTGACATTTAATAAGCAAACGATGTGTTTGTCCTCTTGTTGTTTTTTTTTTTTTTTTTTTTTTTTGGGTGTAATAATCTATGTGGTAAATGTGCGAGCTCCTTGGGTGATCAATACCCAGCGAACAACAAGAAACTCAATTCCTCTTCTCATTCTCTAAAGTTGATGGAAAATTGCGAAAAAATTACGAAAAACCTCCAAATGAAATTTAGAACAATCAAAACTTAATATTTCAGGAATAATGTTGAAGTTGAAAAAATTATAAGAAATATTAAATTCATATTTTAAAATAATATTATATTATTTTTAACCACTCAAAATTTCTACAAGTGTTTGTTTAATCCATTTCGAACTAGTATGAGACTAGTGAATTTATACCAAAACTTTTCAAATTTGTTTTATCTTTTAATTAATTCCTGTCCGACAATGATAGTTATTAAATATTTTTAAATAAAAAAAAATATTGACTATGAGCTATTTCTCAATTTTCTTTAAAAAAAAGTTATGTTCAAATTTTTTTTTTTGTTTTAATCCATTTCGAACTAGTTTGAGACTAGTTTGTTTCTCATGCATAAGTTTCATTCCCCTTTTAATGGACAACCGGATGCTAAAAATGCTAGATCTTTTCCAAAAAAAAATGTAATTAGTTGAACTTGCTAATTTTCCAGTTTTGATGTAGTCTTTAACCACTACTTTTCGAATTAGTGCCTGCTCTAGTCGTATGCAAAATCAAGTTGAGTATGAAAATTTACTCAACTGAAGAAATATATTTCGTGTGCTACGATGCCAAAAAAGGTCACTTTAAGGGTTGCTAATATATCTACAGTTGAGCCATTGCGGCAAGTCAAATTTTAAATTAAAATTATTTATTTTATAAAACTAATATTATTCAATATTTCAGTTTCGTACAAAATTTAAAATCAACAAAAAATATTATTTAGTTCCTTTTAGCTCTGTCAAGAAAAAAAATGGAAAAAATTTAATTAGTAAATGGTTTGGTCCATTTTGCACTAGTTTATAACTAGTATAATTCGACACATAAAAATTTTTCTTATAGCCAAAATTATATTTTCTAAATTAAACGAGCGTTGGTCCAAAAACACTTTAAAGCTCAACTCGGAAACACAAATTAAATGCTTATTGGTTATATTTTCTACATACATACATACATACATACATATATAATCATAAGAGGTTAATGTATTTCAGCATTTCCTGTGTGGCCTGTGCGACTTTCTGGCATGCTTGCGTTGCTCGCTCACTGCATTGCCCCTTACTGCCTACAGTCGTTGCTGAGAACAACGAACGCTGTTCGTTTTTTTTTGTTCTTTTTTGTTTTTGTCTTTCTTCTTTTTAATGACAAAGCTGAAAGCCTAATGACAACGACGAGCGCACTAAACGTTATATTTTAATATATATGTATGTATGTAAGTGTGTGTACAGACCTTAAGAGACCTTAAAGGCCTTAAAGGGTTAGCAGGCGAGCGTCAGCCGTTTTTGAATTATTGATAAGTAAAGCGCATAAAAGATGCAGGTGGAACAATTAGGACTGCAGCGCCGCTGTTATTTTGGGTGCAATGAAAAGCATATTAAGATAATATTTTTAATTATTTCATGAGGTTTTTTATAAAGTGGGTGGGTCTATTAAAATTAAACATTGGTTAAATTTATAAAAAAAATATTTAAAGCGCTGCAAAATACCGTTAGAGAGCTTCAAATATTTAAGCGCGTTGTTAGGAAATCATAAAAAAAATTTAAAAAATAAAAAAAAGTGTGAACTATTCTAGTTATACTCTCCCTCCCCCCCCTCAAAAAAAAAAACTTTGCACAAAATTACACTAGTACACGTTTGGTCCATTTTGAACTACTTTGAGACTAGTATAATATTGAATAAAAAAAATTGCTTTAATAGCAAATTTTTAAGATTTAAGTGTTCAAAAATCTCTTTTTCATTAAAAAATTTTTTGTTGCTCCTTGTCGTTCACAAGAAAAACTACCTCCAATGCTGCTTACATATTTGGAGCTCCAGTGCATTTAACAGCGCTTTATGTGCACATTTAACCAGTGTTTAATAGTTAGCAAGCCCAACTAAAGCTACTCTAATGAGCTTTTATACCAGTGAGTTTATACGAAAATCGTTTATTTCTTGCGATCGTACTCACTTTAGTTGCCGATCCCGATGCCACACGGCCAGCTGTAGATGATCGCCCACGGTTTCAGCTGCGCCTGCAGCTTGCGGCTCCACATGCTCTTGTGCGCCCAAATCGAAACGGAAACGATGATCGAAATACGGGCGACTGGAGTGTCGATGTACGGCAGTGCGTTGGAAATGATTCTCGGTTGGCTTGGAGTTCGCCTCATTGCGTATGAGCGCGACTTTAACATAGGCGTTCAACGCCGTCGAACCATTCGGACGTTGCAAATCGCGACAGCGTATAACTGTAATGGTAAAATAAAAAAAAAAATTAAAAAAAATCAATGTGAATTTGAAAAAAAACCACGAGGGTGACCTGATAAATAACAATAACACCACCAATGCCCCATACACCTTGGAACTCACCATGTACATTTAATTGTTGACGCTCCACATTGATTGCGAGCTCCACATTGCCGCGCACTGCCGCGGGGCCCGCACTTTTTGTGTACGAATTCTGTGAGGCGCGCCCCGAGCAGTAGTGTTCGCCCATTGTCGAACTGGTATTGGATGAAGCTACAGAGCTACGCTTTGCCGCATTGCTAAAATCCGCATCGTCCTCCTCATCACTCGCTGAGGAGAAGCTCAAACAGCGCTTAATAGAGGGCATCTCCTCCACCAAGGTGGGCGTCGAGCAACGCTGCGGCAACTCTGCGGCGCCATTTGTTGCACCGCCAGCCGTAGACGAAACGTAGTTGTTATCTACAATGAATGTTGCATTCGGTGGCGTCTGCATGACCAGCAGCTCGATGTTTGAGGCAATAGACGGCTTGAAGAGTGGCGTATCGGGACTCGGTATGCCATCGGGTAGTGTTAGACCAATTAGTGGTTGCGTTTGCGGCGGCGGTGGTGCTGGCGGTGTGAGCTGCGCTGCTGCTACCGCTTCAAACGCTTCTACTTTACGCCGCGTGTCCGTCGTTTTGGTATTCTTGCGACGCACGACACGCTGACGCTTGAGATGCGTGGGCGTGCGCACCTCCATTTCGTGTATGCTCATTTCACCATCACTCACCACAACGGGCGAGTCTGCTGTCTGCGGCAGCCCATTCTCCATACGACGCACCGCCGACACGCGTTGCACATCCTTACGCGCGCTCTCGATTATGGCATCCAACATGCGATCTAGCGTTACATCGCCCATGCGTGATGAGGAGAGAGAATTATCACGCGAGGCACTGCGAAAACGCAAATGACTCAGCGGTGTATCCTCCACTGGCTCCGTCGTCGTGGCAAAATCATCGGAGAAACGATTACGCGTTGTCGGCGTGCCGCTACGCCGCTTCACATTTAAAGGCACATTATTTGGAGTTTGTGTTTGGTAACGTAGGGCCGCGCGCGTAGGTGTATACTCGACGCGTATTGGGCTCTTGCCGTTGCTAAGATCCTGGAAGGCGGTGAGGCTGGTATGGCCGAAGGAACTACGTGTAAAATGTACGTCAAAATTCTCTTTATTCGCTGCACTAGTGAGTGAGTGACGTATGCGACGAGGCGAAGGCACCTCCAATTGGTTGTCGAGTGAGTAGCGCTGCAGGCGACGGCGTTCGAGTACGTGTGTCATAGTAGGCATTTTCTTCTCGACGCTTCTCTTGGCAGATAAGTGGAGTGGATGCTCGCGGGAGATTTTAACGATGGATTGTATTTCAAATGGGCGCCCGTGAGAGTAGTTGTTGCTATTTGTTGTGTTACAGATGAAATTAGTGAGGTTATAATGAGTTTGAGTGTGACAGTGAGCTTTCTTAGTCAGTGCTTTGTGCAGTAGTGTGGCATTTAAAGGAAAAGAAGTAGACTGTTGTAGCAGATTTTGTTGTTTTGTCCACTTAAGCATGGCAAACCGGAATTACCAGACTGAAAATAAAGAAATAATAAGAAAAAATCGTTAACAATGGAGGTGTTAAAAAATATATCCAAACTAAGTATACCTAAAACAAAACTAAAAGTTGAAGATTGAGTAATTAATTTTTTTTAACGATTTTTTTCACGCATTCACCGTTTTACCGGAACTAAGTTATATCAGAACCATGTGGTGCTTACCCAAGCTACTAGAATAATATTGCTTGACACACCACATGTTGGGTTTGTGTGTTTGCTAATTAAGTAAGCGGTTTCAAATGGCATAGGGTGCTTCAAAAAAACTAGTTTTTTTAGTATTTTGCTTTAATTTTCGATTACTTTATATAAAAATAAATTACTTCCTCTTGGTGCTCGGCAAGCAAAAATCCATTTAAGTGTCAAAAATTTATTTTCATTTGCATGAACACCCTGTTGCTTTCTATTAATTCCATAACTGTTGAAACTTAAACATATAAAATTCTCTCATTAATCTGCCGTCACTCGTTCACAATAGCAGTAATTTCAACTTTTACTCATTAATGGATTTTCACGACGCATAAACTACGCTATTGCGATATTTTCCCCAATTTCCACTGAATTTACCACACAGTTCTCATTTCCTCCATACCAAAAAAAGTCCACAGCCTGAATTTCAGCGACATCGCTTCGAAGTTGCTTGAAATTTATGAATACAACACTGAAAATTACTTACTGTGAATTAATACTGAGTTAAAATAAGAAGAAGAAGCAAATGTCAATGAAAATATTTCTACAAAATCAGAAGTGGCATAGGCAATTTTTAAAGGAAATAATTTGCAAAAATTCGATGAAGTTATTAATGTAATAAAGAAATAAAAGGAACACTCTTTAAGCGATACAGGGTCAGCGAGGATAATGAAGCTCTAAAAGGCTAAAAACACCAACCATAAGGTCGGAGAAATTACTGATGAACCCAGTGCTCACGGTTATTCGTTTACAAATGCACCCTATAACCTCTGAAGCGAGTTACGTTTCAGCGCCTCCTGCAATTTTTGTTGTACGTCTTGATGTTTTTCCAGCATAAACTGTAGAGACCAACTGTTTATACTAAGAAACCTCTGACTAGCTGATGGCTTTTCCTGAAGAGTCTTTTAATTTATGTCAAAAATACACTCGGAGCTTGATTTTCCCAGGCAAGGGTGGCCGATGTAAGAAAAATTAACTTTTTTGTACTTAAATTGATTTGCTCTAATTTTGGGTTTTAGTCTAGGCCGTTATCTTTCACCTGATAGTATGCACTGCTAACCACTCTTCTATTGAGAGTGAGGAAATAGAAAAGATCCACTGAATGTCTCTCCTTCGAGTGTGTCCATCCGCGGCTTGTTGCTGGCCTGCTAATTTACTATTACCAAAGGATATTTCAAATATTATTAAATTTTGCACTTACTTTTATTTACTATCTTTTTTTATTTGCCTTTACTGAAATGCATTTAATTCCTATCCTCGCCCCAAACATCGCCGATGGAACAGCTGCTCGACTCGATTTTCACGCGTAATCGATAACAAACAAAAGTGCGATCAGCTACCGAAGAAATAAATAAAGGAAATCCTTACATAGCATGTAATAAAGTTGAGCCGGCACGAATTTCGATCGAGATAAATAATTTCAGCAAAAAGCAAATGAAAAGAAAGGCATTATTGAATGAAAATTGAAGAGAAAAAAGCAAAAAAAAAAAGGAAAGCAGAAAGCACCAGGCGCCTACGCTACACAATGCCAATGCAAGCGCAAGCAAGGCTCTGACTCTTCGCCTACACAATAGCAAGACCAAAATTGAAAGCAAGAAGGCACATGCAGTCGTACAAACATACATACATACATAGCTGCATAGAAACGAATGAATGCAGGCAGGCAATTGGAAAAAATGGTTAAAAGCAAAGGTGTATTAAATGAGCGCAGTCTCCTTTTATGTATGCCTATGTATGTATGTATGTATGGATGTACGTGCTGCTTGCCTCATTTCATGCCCGTGCAAGGGATTTACACCAGTTGAACGCTGGAAAATTTGCTGTCACTTTTCTTACGGCGGGACTATACCAGACATTATTGTCCTTTTGTTTGTAATTAAAGTGAATAGAGAGAAAGTTAATAGCGGGAAAATGCGCGTACGTCGTGTATGCATAAACGTGTATGTATGCACGTGTGTAATCTTTTTTCATGGCTGCTGCACATGCTACCTTTAAGGCCCGCGAAATGATTTTTTGATTGCTTACAATCAACAAAATTAAATGCTTGCTTGTTCTTGTTTTCTGATAACACAAAAAAAAACACGTGGTTGTTGTTGTTTTCGTTGCGTTAAAATTCATTTTTTCTTCATCAACTTTTGATTGTCACATGAGTGATTTTCTGTGACCTTTTTTTCTTGGATACTACTTTTGGTTGGCAAAGGAAAAGTGAATCGCTAAGGATGCCCAGGATGACAAGAATATACATGCATACATATGTATGTTGCATATAACAAACTGATTGCGCTTGTTTCTCCTTATATTTACATGCGTGAAGTACAATAATAATGTGAATGTATTTGTGTGTATGTATTATGTATATAGTAAATATGTACATATAGTAAGAGTACACACTATGCGTGAGGCTACCCACTGTTTTTGTTGTCATAGCTAACCGCTTTCCTGTTGCTCCTTCAAGATCCACACAAAAGTGGTTTCTATTGACTGACAGCTGTCACGCTGTGTAGCTTTTTTTTTATGACACAAGCGTCTAGCGGCGCCGGCGGAAAAAGGAATGTGACATAAATAGTTTGAGCTAATTTGCAAGGATTCATATTATGAGTGTATGAGAGGTATGGCGAAAAAAAAAATTAGTTTATAAAAAGCTTGAGTTATATAATAAAAATATTTAATCATAATAAAAAAATTAAAAATAAAATAAAAATTATAGTAAAACAAATAATAGTAAAAAAAAAATTATTAAATTAAAAAAAAATATTAAATTTGAAATTATTAAATTTTTTTAGTTAAATAAAGATCAAATAATTTTTTTTGTGAGTAATAAATTTCCAACATTTAATGTAATCAATCAAAGCTCAAAAAATTATTATTTTAAGTAATAAAATTTAAATTTTTTGTAATAAATAAAACTTCAATTATTTTTTATTAATAGAAAAAAATATTTTATTAAATTTGTAATTATTATAATTTTTTTTTAATTAATTAAAGTTCCAAGTGTTATTATTTTATGTAATTGAATCTCGATTCTTTTATAATAAATAGATCTTCAAAATTTTATACTATTTTTTTTCTTTTGTTTAATTAAAGTTCAATACAATATTTTTTAAATAGATCTTCAAAATTTTTTTTTTTAAATATTATTATATATTAAATTTTAAATTACTATTTTTTTTCTTTTGTTTAATTAAAGTTCAACACAATATTTTTTATGTATGCAAATTTCAAAATTTTTGTAATTAATAAAACTTCACAAATTTTTAATTAAAAAAATATTATATTAAATTTCAAATTACTATTATTTTTTAATTAATTAAAGTTGAACATAGTCGTATTATTTTTTATGCATTTCATATTTTTAATTTAGAAAAAAAAATTTTTATTAAATTTCAAGTATTTATTATTTTTAATTAACTAAAGTACAAATTATTATTTTATTAATAAATTAAACTGTATATAGTTTTTAATTAAAACAGTACAAATTATTATTTTTTAAGTAATAAAATGTCAATTTTAATTTTTTAATTAATAAATGTTCAAATTATAATTTGTTTAAGTAATAAATCTTAAATTTTTTGGAATAAATAAAATTTTAAATATATCTAATTGATAAAGAAAATATTTTGTTCAATTTCAAATTATTTTTATTTGTTTAATTAAAAAAATATTCAATAACTTTTTTTTTAACAACAAAGTTTTAATTTTTGTGTAATAAATAAAATTGCAACTATTTTCAATTAATAACAAAAAAAAAATTATTTATTTATATTTTTATGTTCAAATTATTTTTATTTTTAATTAATTAAAGTTCAAATTATTATTTTGTTATTTAATGAAATTTGAATTTTTTTTAAGTAATTTAAGTTCAAATCGTAATTTTTCTAGGTAAAGAAATTTCTGTTTTTGAAATATAATTATAAATTTTTTGTGATTAATAAATTTTCAATATTTTTATAACTAAAAATTTTTAATTGTTTTTTTTATTTTTTTATACCGCTGCATTTTCTCATTGTTCTTTCAAACTGCTATACCACCATTAAATGGTTTTTTTATCGCCGCATCGCGCTTATGAATTGTTACTCTTACTAACCGCGCATGCCACACATATACAAATTTAATTCTTTTTTTTTTGCATAAAAAGAAAGAAAATTTGCAAAACGTGACATGCTTTGTACGCCGCTAATAGAATAAAAATCCAGTTTATTGCTTGAAACTGGTAATTTGTGTGATTTACCATCACGTAAAGGCACGAAAAAGACGAGAGATCTTGCAAATTGCAAAAGGCAAAATTTGTTTCCTTAACAAAACAAAAAGCATAAAAAGGATGAAAATTAAACAAAAAAAAAAAGCTCAAAAAAGGTTCGCGCAGTAAAATACAGTCGAAATTGGCGCAAAATCTGTATGTCTCTATGCGTGTATATGTTGTCTTTGCTACGCTTGCCTTGTCTGGTGTAGGTCTGTCGCTACATAAGCCTTACTTGCAGACACAACATGTAGCAAAAGCTATTTTTTCGCGATATTTTAGAACTCGTTTTGCGTCTTTTGTACCGTTTTTTTTTTTTTTGCTATTTTTTAATTCCTTTTCAATACTGTTATTATATGCATATGTATGTATATTGTTATTGCTCGCCGTTATCTTGCAGATTCTCAATTCAGAGTGGCTTTCAGGTCTGCGCTTGAGCACAATCGTGTCCTTCACCAACCAGCAAGCCCACTAAGATGTCGTCTATGCGTTGCCGTTGCCTTTGCTGAAGTTCCGCATGCACTTTTGTCATTTTTGCTGCCATTTCTGGCTTGTTCGTGGCTATTTAATGCATGCATTGCCATGCCATTTAATCAGTTAAAATTTGCCTGCAATTTCGTTGTTGATCCTTTTTGTTCATACCTTTCTTATTTATTATTTTATTTTTTGTCTCCGCAATTGTAAGTTATTTTTTTTTGTTAGTGCCTTTCTGGTTCTGGTTGACATTTAATTAGCTTAAAGATAATTCATTATGCTCAACAGTTTGCTTGGGCAAAGACTTTTTTCGTTGCCACTACTTTTTACTTCCACACATTTATATGCATATATGCATTTTCAATAATTCTTTCCTCAAAAATCAGCAAAATTCAAAAGTAATGGTATTTAGAATATTATCTGCGTCTTTCGATTGTTATAGTAGTGAAATATCGATTACTAACTGCCAGCTTGAGGGTTGTGAACTTCCTTGCACATATGCATATTTTTTTTTATTCAATTCTTTTTTCCTTCATAATATACCAAATTTTGTTCATAAAATAAGTATAATTGCAAAAAATAATAACTTCAACTTTTATTGACATTTTTCCGACTTGAAATTCTTGAACATGCCCTGCAATTCATTCCATTTCCGGTTTTTCAAACATTATTGTCACCCTGTGCTGTAAAGCGGAAATGTCATAGTTGTAACGTTTAAGATGCGGCAATGTGCTACGAAATCTCAATTTGTGCGAAAAAATAGTGCTTATTTGTAAATAAATATTCCAATTAAATAAATTTCTGTAGAAAACATAAGAATTCAGTGCAATACTTCATTTTCCTTCCGTACATTCAAGGAAAACTAGATTTCGCAAATAATTTTGTGCAGTGCGCGCGAGTAATGGCTCATGAAGAGTAGAAAAAATTAGCGGCGTTGCAATATAAAGACATATGTGTATATATAAAAGAAAACTTATACATATGTACATATATATATATCTATAGATATATGTATGTCAACATAAATGGCGCATACAAACGCAGAAGCGATTTTAGACCAAAACACAATTGCTTGCATTTTATAAATTTTCACACAAAAAGTTGAATATTATCAAAATACAGGCGTGGGAAAAGAAAGTTAACATATTTGGTAACCAAATGAGATAATCAGTTGCCGATAAAGTGTTTAAAGAAGCAGTGGGCGCTGAACTGCACATAGCCATGAATATACGAGTCAGTTTCGGGGAGAAAAAGCATAAAAATGTCTATCAATTCTACAGCGTATAAGCTTTGGGAGCTAAAAAATGACTTCGAAATAGTGAAAAATATATGCAAAACATATGACACAAAGCTTTTAAAATTTTTATCAGCAACGCATGGGGCAAACTCCAGGCTGCTAGTAAGGCTGTTGATGCAGCTAACCTTAAATAAAAACAACAAATGCAGAAAATTTAAGAAATACATGCACATACATCAAACGAGGGCTACTACAAGAAGGAATTGTTGGAATACATAACTTGTGGAGGAACTGGTAACACTATGTACATATGTGAATCTCCCTGAGGAGTTAACCTAGCCTCAACGTGAACTAATTTAATGCAAAGTTTTAGTTAATCTTTGTGCCTGCATATGTACATATAATCGGAGTAGACAAAGAAAGAAATGAAATTTCGAGAGATTCTCCATAATAATTTGCGGAGTTTTTGTTGCAGCAGAGAAATGTGAGTTTATTTTTATTTTCAATTACATGTTTATATTTGTATATATACATTCATATATGTAGGTATATGATCGCAATCAAAGTTCTTCCGTAACCTTTAAGTAGTCGAAAGCGCATGTCCTGTTTGAAGTGCAATATATTGTCGAATTTAGTATACATATACATATACTACAACAGGACTTTCTCGAATTTCGTCTTTTTTCTTCAATTGTGTGCTTTATTTGCTTGCTTTTACTGCGCTCTTTCTTCTTCCACTGATTATTATTATTATTATTATTCCCTGCCGAATTTCGCATTTTAATTCAAGTTTCTTTTACTCGTGCATATGTATGTGAGTAGTGTAAGTAAAGAAATAAATGCCTCGCGAGTGTACACGTATATACATAGTGAAGAGCACAATGCTGGGTGTTTATTAAGTGGACTCTTGACATTGTTCAACGCCATGCGACGACCGAAAATAGCGTTCAACTCGAAACGGGACAACGTGCATTCAATGGACGGCCACACAAAGCACAGACAGACAGAAATTATTTGTATGAAATGGATGTAGGAAAGAAGCTACGTTATGTGGAAAGGAAGCTTGCAAAAAATTCGCAAAGAAGGCGAACTCCTGTTGAGCATGGAACAAGCTTATTTAAAGAATTGCAATTGATTTACTGCTACTTCATGTAAATTGAATATTTCATATGTATGTATGTATATTAACAAAGGAACAAAAGCGTATTGAATGAGTTAAATGAAGACATAAACGCAGATTGTAAAATTTACCAAGAGGGTTTTGCCAAAGAGGTCAAAGGACGAAAAAGTGTGAGACATGAAATGCCAAGAGTTGATTTTTATTCAATTAAATTAAATTAAATTTCGGCAGTATGTATAATATATAAAAATATTTATTTTTTAACTCTCAGCTAACTAATTGGTGCAGCAGAATCCGCAGCGGAGCTGTGGTTATGGGCATAAATGCAGACCAGACCATTAGCTGAAGCTTGACTGTGTTCGAGCCTTGCCAGAGAATGTCAATGAGCGAGTGTCTGCTGGAGCCGGGGGATCTAAATGAAAACTCTATTTTAGATCGGCTGATGAAAGTTAATTTTGTACGCTCCTCAGCAGAAAATGTCAATATCTGCTTGTGTGCTTCTAATAAAAAAAAAACGATTAACTGCTTTAAAAAATCGCTCAGCTGCACGGAGGTAGCTTAAGATTGCGGTTATTGCTATTTGTAGGCAAATAATTAAGACGCATGAGACAAATTAGCCGCGTAACTCAACTGATCAACATACAAAGACTGCGTGAGTCTTGCCTTTTAAACTCCAATCCAGCTATTTCTGTCTACCTGCATGATTACGTCGATTTCTAGATTCGCGAAAACCCACCAATCAAATCACCGCTCAAAAACAAGCCACAAATCCATGCAAAATATTGAAAACCGCAAAAATTAATAATAAAAAATAATAAAGCAGCAAACCTTTTCTAACGACCAAAGCAAGCAACGCAAACTCACTTCGGAACAGCGGGAAATCCTGCACTGTGAAAGGTGCAAAATATTTCGCTTAAGTAGGAAAACTCACTTAAGCAAACAAGGAAAGTTTACATTAAGAACTTGGCATAAAAACAAAATTAAAAAAATTTCTGGCGTAACAAAAACAACACTTACGGATTACTAGCACCCAGGCTTAAGCCATCGAGTGTCTCATGTGTGTGCGTATGTGAGTTGCGTTACCAATACGCCACCAAACAGGCCACGCACTTCCAGACAAATTGGCTTAGGACCGATGGAATGCGCAAAGGTCGCTTGAAAATGGAAAATCCCGCCGGTACGGTATACGGTAAAAAGGAAAGGTGTGCATGCAGAAGAAAAGGGCAGAAGATTAGCCAGCTCGGCGTAAATGAGTTTGCGAGTGGAACTGTGTAGCAGGCTGAGGTGGTTGCGGCTGTGTATGTAGAGCGGTTGTCTTACAAAAACAAAAAAAAAAATATTTCATACAAATCAGATAGGAGACTAGAAGAAATGCATAGGTGTGTAGGGATATGTGTCTACCGTGTCTGGCTGTGTCTCTGAAGTAATCCATACACGTCACCCCCAGAAGAACGAACAAAAAGAAGAAAAAAAAACGAACTATTCTTGCAGCGCATACCGTTACAGTGCTACAGCTGATAGTCGATCGGCGGTATACACGTACATACATAGTAGACTACACACAGCACCACAACAGACTTGAAGACGTCAGGCATCAGCCGTCAGCCCGAGGAAAGGAAAGGAAAGGAAAGGGATGTTGGCAGGCAATCAACAGTCGCTGGCTTACTTCAAAGGTGCGTTGTAGGCATCAGCCGAACGCTACGCTGAAGAGGGGTTGGAAATTAGATAAATTAAAATTAGAACTAGTGCAGTTGTCAGGACAAATGATGAGGAGGCAGCCGAAAGCGTTAAGCAGGAAAAAGGGGATAATGCAAGAAATGTTGAAGGTCGCCTTTGGCGAAATGTATGCACATGGTATGTGTGTGTGTGTTTGTGTGTGTGTGCACGAAAGAAAATGGTAAAATAAATCAAAACAGCCTTAACAACTGACTTGGATTGGTGGAAACGCGAGCACAATCGATTAAGACGAATTATGTCCTTTGGTATGCTTGGGTTTCCTTTTTTTAATTCTTTTTTTTTTTTTTTTTGAGACATATTTTTTTCGACGTTTCTTTGTGAGTACTGCATTTTATTAGATCCGAGCCCACTTTTTTGCTAATTTTTTTTTTTATGTTTGGATTTACATGCCACGAGCAAATGTAAATTACAGCGAGGCGTTGCCGTCATCAATGTCAGCGTGCTAGGGATGCTGACTCTTTGCACAAACGTTGCACATATTTAATACTAAAATAGCTTAGTGGTTCTTTCTGTCTTTATTTATAACTAAGACTCACCTGTTTATTTTTTATTTTTCGCTGAACGCGTTGTCACGAACGTTGGAAAGCCATGGTGGCGCACGGGTTAGTTTTAAAAAAAATTTTGCACAAAATTTAAAACAAAAACAAGCACGTAAAAAATCTTATTAAATTTTTTTAATTATATTAATTAATTTTTTTTTATTAATTAATTTTTTTTATTAATTATTTTTTTTTTAATTTTTCCTTTTTAAAAGTTTTACTTATTAGAACAAAAGTCCAAATAACAAAATTGTCACATAAAATTTTGCTTTCTTTTTTGCACAAGCAAAGAAAATTTTTATTTTCCAAATTATTTAAATTGTAAAAAGTCCAAAAATTGGCAAAGAAAAAAAATTAAATTATTTCCTTTTTTGCACAGCCGAAATTACTTAGGCACGTCTGTCGCGTTTGAATTGGCGAACACGAATGATCCTGCCATGTGGCGACGCGTGCGCACTATACCGTGTGATTTTGAACGGTAAACAGTCGCTTGGTTGGTTGGTTGGTTGGTTGATCGCTCGCTCTCGCCACACAGTTGGTGGTTGCAAGTAAGAGCCGGTTCGAGCGCCGCCTGATGAGAGCACCAAGCTGATAAACATCAAGCAACAATTGACAGTAGCTCTTGTAACTACGTTCATGACTCGTGTCTCGTCTGCTGTGCTCGGTGTGTGTGTGTGTGCCATTGAAGAGCGTGCGTGAGTCCACTGTGTGCGCTCTTTACTGCGGCGAAGAGATGCGTTAAGATCATGCACCTGGTTAGATAGCCAATGGGAATGCGTTGTCTGTGATATTTGGTACCATATGGCTTGTGTTGTGAGTTGTTGCATGTTGTGAAATCAAGTTTTTAAAAAGGATTTTTTTTTGTTCTGTTGCAATTTGGGGCCTACTGGCGGCTCTCGTAATGTGACGTCAGCAAATAGTCGTTTTTTTATTTAATTTATATTCTTTTATGGAACTCAGTGCGTGCTACGAGCCAAAATGAGTCTAAAATCTAAGCACCGACCCGACTAAAATCTAAAAAGTTTCCTTTTTTCTAAGCGTTCGGATCCCAGCTGTGCATGTCTATAGCTCCGGTTATGTTTCCGACTTGAGCTTAAAATCGTAGTTTCACTTGTCGTTGGCCATAGCCCATTTCCCCTGGAAGTGACATCCTTAACCCCATCACTACAGCTGCAATGGTCACCAACATACAGAGCCGCTGCAAAGAACCTCAGTCGTTAGTCACCATCAATTGGGAAAAAGACAACGAAAAAAAAGCTTGCAATATAGAAGTCAATCGGTTGGCTGGTTCTAAACTACGCCGCTCCCATTTGAGCACCGAGCGGTCGTCGAGACGCAGATCAAGAAGCTTTTAGTTAAGGAACATAATATTAGGGGGTCTTGGAAGTGGAGCATCTACCGGCTTATCGGCGTTATTCCAAACTCCTACTAGAGACAGTACCACTACCCCAAGCACATCAGGGAGGAAGTGCCTGACTTCGCGGCTTCTCATGAGCAATATATCACAGAAGCGCTGGATGCTTTGAGCCAACCACAAGTGCTAAACTCCATACACAAAGTTAACACCTTCCATAACTCTTTTCCTGTGAATGGCGTCGTCAGACTTCAACCCACCCGTTAGCACCAGCTCAAGCTGTCTCGAGATATTCGCTTAATACTGACACATTAAAGTCTGGATACTGTCGTATCTCTACTCTACTCCTACTTATGTAGGCTTGACCCGGTTGTAACCTAAGTATGTATGTTCTAAGAGTAATAAGTATCCGTCCGGCACTAACCAACTTGTGGCATATCCCCTAAAATCGTCCTCATCGAACCCTCCTCTCTCTCTCTCTCTCTCTCTCTGGTCTGAACCTGTTGAAACAGCTCGTTTTTTTGGACCTCTTGTTGAATAAGAGTCTCGACAACATTGATCGACTTTGGCTGTTCCTAAATGAGGTGATCCACCCACTACGAAAAAAAAAACCTAAAAACTCGACGGAACACTATTATTGCGTTCATTCGACGTACCGCACTATCGGTCCTCAGCTCTTTGCACTAAGTTCAAAAAGCTCCGGCAGTGAGGGATCGATGGCAGACGACAAAGAATTCTTTACACTTTTCTCAAAACGAAATATTTCAAAACTTCCAAGTAAACAAAAATGGGGTTTGGATTCATTCTGGAACTCCTACTTTGTACTCACCCGAGCCTTCTGAAAAGTCTCGGTACACAATGCAGTCGAAATTCCGTCGTTTATGGTCGATAATTGCTTTACTTAGGCATTGAACTCTGCAGAAAATGATTGAGCCGCAGTGGAAATAACGTATTTTGCTCTTCGAAAGCAGTTAAAACGCGAGAATAGCAAACTCACGAATGGCGAACAGAGACTTACAAACTTGGCTTGAGGAGCTCGACATGCGAGCTCCTCTTATTCACAGCCCCACTCAGTGTATCAGATGCTACCTATAGTTGTCCGCCTCTTTTCTTCTCCCCTCCTTTTTACATGCGCCAACTACAGAACAGCAATTTTTCTTTGTACTTCGGTCAGCCACCGTTCGTCGGTTTGTCAGTAGCTGCGCTGATCCGTCTCGCTTGTTACAACGATTTGTGACAGTTTATTTTTCTAGCTTACCTCAGCCAGCCTGATTTTTGGCTTTCATTCATTCGGAGATGAACATGAAAAATGGCAGTGCCTGGGATCACATGTGAAAGGATGTTGGTATATCCTTGTAGTCACATATAGCACATACATTTGTACATACACAAGAGAAAAGTAGCAGATAATAGACTACTTTTTCATGTTTTTCTCTACCAATTCTTTTTTCTTTAATTTACTGCCGCTCTACTTTCTTTCTTTCACTGTTTGCTCTGTGTCTACTTTACTTTCTGCACATCCTTGGCATCCTTGGCATGAAAAATGTTTGCGACAGCTGCTGATGCTTTCAGAATTTTCCTGCAAAAAATCAAAAAAAAAGGCAAAATATTTTTTTTGCTGATTTTGCGTGCATAGAAATGTGTATTGGCAGTAGCCAGGCTGGTGTCCTTTCACTTTGTAAGTACTTTGCATGCGCCGAATAAATATTTGACCAGATGCAATGTCAGATTTTTCTCGTACTTTGTTTTTTTTTACTTTTATTTGTCTCGTGCGAGGGAAAAAAGGATATCTGACTGACTGTTAGACACTGCGGCGTATCCATTACAGCGCTAATGTGTAGGTGTGTCGAGTTATTGTGCGCCGGAATCCGGGAATCCGCTTTTGCTCTCTTCGCTTTATTCCTATTATTTGCTCCAAATCTAAGTTCTGTTGTATTGCGCAGGCGCAGGCGCAGCAGCCGCAGTGACGGTCGGGAGCAACTTCATTCAATGTTCCGCAATTTATGCGTGTTTTTATGTGACACATGTCAAATATTTCATAACTGCTTGAATGTGGCGCGCAACTGGAGTGCAATAAATGTGCTATTAAGTGGAGATTTGAAAAATATTAAAATGAAATTGAGTTAAGCTGACGCGTTATAGACTCGTGATAACTTTCAATGAAAAAAAGACAACAGCCGTGCATGAAAAGAACTTCGAATTCTAAAGACAATCTTGGCAAATATACTAAGAATTATTATTACGGCGGCAGGCAGAAAGTAATGGCCGCTCTCTAGATCGCCTTGGTACCGCTCCATACTGTTTATAGGAGTTTCCGCATATAACCGCCGCCCGGTGATGTGTTGAACGGCATAAGCACGAAAAAGATTAGATACCTTGCGTCATTCATTACGCTAGCCGTGTCAAGGAGCTGTATTTTAGTCCGTCATTCGTCAGATACTATCATTCACTCCGGTGGATGGCACGTCTCGCTTCCAGTAGCAGTAAAGAGAGATTTCTCACACTTTCACTAGCTTGCGCCCACGCTCTGATGGATGAAAAGACGATGTTTCCAAAGACAGTTTTTTCGTACACTTGGAATGCGCTTGAGAGCGCTGAGACCGCCATGATATCAAAATCATCCATAGCGATTCTAACGCCAGGGCGGATAAAGTAATTATGAGGCGGAAAATTTAGTAGCCTCGATGAAACCTCTTCTAGTAATGAGAGTAGACTGATTGATTTCGTCAGAACCCGGAATATAGTCAACTGTAATACAGGGTTTCAGTTTGAAAAATCTATGAACCACTTGACTGTCGCCAGATCAAAAGACAGATCAAAATATGTGCTTAAGTTATGGATTCCACACATTTGCTGTGGTAGTCAAGTTACGCACTCGGTATATAGAAACTGTGTGATGGTATTGAAGGCTCCCAACGAAACTATTCGTTTTCAACGAAATTCAACCAGGTTGCGGTCGAGCGGGCTATATTTACTTTCTCCCATACTTTGCATTAGTATTCCCCGGGTTTCTTTTCTCATCACGGACGTATTGAGTGACTCGTTGAATTTGGTTTACTTTTTCTTTTTTTTTTTATTGGCGGAGAGAGCACGTTGCCTCTCAATCGGGCACCGCGATCAGTTCTTCTTTTACCCATTCAACACCAATTGAAAACACCAGAGTAAGCCGGATCCTTTTCCACCTGCTCGAGAGTTTTGATCCATCAAAACGATATGACATAGCCACTGTAGACGCTGTTGTTGTTGTTGTGGTGCTGTAACCGCAAAATATTCCCGCATTGATTTTCGGAGAATGTACCGAGAGGGACAGTTCAGTACTGGTGGTTCTGATATCAAGACCCAACTGTCGCGCGAACTATTGGATTTTCATCGCTTCTTAGGGCAAGCATGCCTTACCATGGGCAAGTACTTTAGCCCCTAACTCACGTGATTTTCACTACTTGGTATAAGGTAAAACAAGTTGTCTTCTGCAGGATTTGGCGCTTAATGAATATCCGGTCTATGGTGCTTTTATCAGTTCTTAGCCCACACTGATATGAGGCCTACAACACTAGTCTTTCACATAAAATCATAAGCGAGGAACTTAAAAGCGGTTTTAAGCATTCTTATCTCGCGATAGCAAAAACAGAGAAAGGGAGTCGCGCACGACTTCCCTGGATGGTGCAACGCATAATAAATTTCCCGCCGCCATATTTGAATAGACCAGCCGGTGAGCCCCACCACTTTGTTGTTCAGACTTCTTCTTA